CAAAGGCTTTTGCATAGTCAATGAAGCAGAAGTAGATGCTTTTCTGGAACTCTCGTGCTTTCTCCACGATCCAGTGAATGTTGGCAATTTGATCCCTAGTTCTTTGAGATCATCCATCTCTTTCAGCAGCAAGTCTGCAGTCATTTGCACCACCACCCATCCAGAATGCTCTGTATATTTTATACTAATGTCCATAGGCTTAGAGCCTGATACTTTATGACTGAAATTTCACTCACAGGATGCTTCTACATGAGAAGGGCTGGAGGTGATTTTTCTAATTTTTTCTACTCCTTGTGTTTCCCTGAAAGCGGTTTGGGGATTGCAGGAGAAATCTGTAGTGTTTGTTAGCTTTAGGAACAGCATGTGAGATTGTGGCAGTAGAAGCATCTGCTGAAGTAAAAAGAACTTTAGTTCAAACAAAATATTTTATTTGCAGAGGAACAAGTCAGGATCTAAACCACTATACTGAAATAGGTCTTGGTGCCAAATACAGGTGAAGGCAGAATAACAGAGATAATATAGTAATTATAGACATTACCAAACCTTTCAGACAAATAGCAGAAAACTTGGATTTGTGGACATGCTTGGTAATAGAAGGTAGTCTCTCTGAATCTGGAGGGAGCCTGTATTGAAAAGAAGCAAGCACAGCTCTGTCTCAAAACTCAGTTGCAATCTCGTAATTCTTATTTGGTCCTCTCTTTAACTTTGTATCTGATTTTTCACAGATGAGACAGAGAAGAATAAAGAATCCCCTAATTTAAGGGGAACACGTTATTATTTAAATATTCTATTTCTAAATACAATCTAAACTATTAACAAGGAAATAGAAATATTTAAATGAAAAAATTGAGTATGTTTATTCTGCAGAAATGAGTGCACAACATAGAACTGTTGTAAAGTTCTTTGCTTATTAATACTTGCTTATTAGGAAAAAGAATTCTTGTGCCGAAAATCAGATCTACAGGATGAACTGAGGCATCGAGATCACCATATATCAGAGTTGGATAAGGAAATACTTGCTTTGCATGACAACATAAGTGCATTAACCAAGGAACTGGAGTTCAAAGGGAAGGAAGTTCTACGAATACGTAGCGAATCTAACCAGCAAATTAGGTATGAGTATTTGTGATGCCAGGTAACAAGTTCTAATTAATTCAGTACCTAAAGCTAATAAAGGACTGCATTTTTTTTTTTTTGGTAATTTTCTTGGAATATTTTAGGCAATCAAATTCAGATTGCTGTATCCATCTGATATGATTAATGTAACAGTGCATTTAGACTGGGATTGCCTATCATATGGCATTGCAAGTTATTCTAGACATTAGCAATTGGAAAGACCTATCCTGACTATTTAATTAAAAGGATTTTGTTTGCATTTCATTATTAAAGCATTAAAGGAGATGACAAAAATTATAGAAATAAGCTAGAGATTGGAGAAACAATTTTGTAATTATCAGTATCACTGACAGGCAGAAACTTTATTTTGGTCATTGAACAATAAAAATACATTCTATAAAACAAACAAACCAAAATTATCCCCTAACATCAATAACTGTTGGCAACCATTTGTGGGTGAAGCTTACACATAATGTAGCAGAATTTTGCTACTTTTAGAGAAATAAATTTATCTTGGTTGTTTAACAAATATTGCAAATAATACATTCTATAAAACAAACAAACCAAAATTATCCCCTAACATCAATAACTGTTGGCAACCATTTGTGGGTGAAGCTTACACATAATGTAGCAGAATTTTGCTACTTTTAGAGAAATAAATTTATCTTGGTTGTTTAACAAATATTGCAAATAAAAATTATCAGAGTGCCCTGGAAATTTAAATAAAAGGGGGGTAATCTACTGGTGGCCAACATCCCTGTAGAACTGACAGTACAAAAGAACATGGGTTGTGGTTTCTATGGCACTCATGTCACAGGGACAATATCAGGTTTCATATGGGGTTTTCCTGTATTTCCCTTCCAAAACAGCTGTGGGGAGGACATTAAATTGGGCTTTCCTGAATTTGGGGACTGTAACATGATATAAACATGAAGCTGGTTTAGGCACTAAGATTTGGTTATTAGCAATTATATAATGAGAAAATGTAGCAGTTTCTGTTTGGCCTTCTATATCTAAGGTCCTTTGCCTTGACATTGATCTAGCTTGATCTGACTCTAAGGTTAAGATGGCATCACTGGAGAAACCATAGAGACTCAGTTTCTTTTAAATAGCTA